CTGTGACATGAGCAGGATATGAATCCCTAACAGTTCCTGTGGGTCTGCTTCCTTTGATGGGGCAACCTTGAGTTTGGGCCATTAGTCATACTCCTTCCCATTCTGACTTGTGAAATGCTTTGGTTTTAATTTATTTTTCTTTTTCTTTTCTTTTCTAAGATTCATAGGTTTCACTGAACTTGAGCCCTGCCTGAAAACTGAAGTTTACATAGTTTTTATTATGTACATAAACTAGTGATTTACATTGATTTACACATGATTGGTGCCTAATTTATTAATCAGCACACAGTATGTAAATATGCTGAAAGGAAATCAAGATTTTAAAATAAGTTTTCCATAATATCCACAAACATTTGCACTGGTGTAATATCAAACCTAAACCTAATGTTAACACCAGCTTCCCGGCCAGGGGGAAAGTAACAGGCATTGCTGGGTGAAAAATTCTTTCTTGAATTTCAGTCGGCCACATTTGACAGCAGAGCTACATACAAATGAGAATGGTTTGCCTCTCTTTCACTAGTATGCACATAAATGTAAACTTCATTTTGCATTTTAGGGAGACATTTACAGATATTATGCCAACCATGGTGGAGAATTTACATCACTGGGGCAAAAGCAGTCTTTGGAGGAGAAATATTTTAAATACTTAAGAAAGAAGGAGGTTTTCTAAACTGATTTGCATTTCTTAATTTAGGCTCTTATCTCACTATTTTATGATATATTTAACATTTGTCCCAAAATAATAGTAGTTTTTATGGGTCAGGTAATTGCATTATACTTTTATTTCTATAAAAATGATAGTTATTAAGAACCTAGACTATATCTAAGCTAAAAGGTTATGAAGAGAAAAATAAGGCCATGGTTAATCCCATGGAACATGGTTCGTAAGCAAATTGCTTGGAAACAAAAAATAATAAATTGAAAAAAATGGGGCTCCATGTCTTTCTAAATGAATCATAGCTCTTTTTTTTAAACCAAATTCAGTACTTTTCTTCCTTTTAAGTTTAAACCATTGTTCTAGAGTCTTCTAATACACATACAATTGTAAATATAGCATTTGTAAAGATAAGGTTAAAAGCAATACATACACACATATATTATTTTTCCACAAATAATTCAAGGCCTGCAAAAAACAAAATAGAAATTCTGGGAGACAAGCCAATAGAAACAGTCAAACCACAACCAATCCGGGGATGGAAACTGTGACTCTGGAGTTGTTTATAAGCTAACAACTCAGTAGGTGATAACTCAGATACAATTTCATGCTGAGGAGTTTAGTTTTTGTGTGCAAAGGAGGTAAATCCATTTTTGGAGGAGAAACAGACTTTTGTTTCTGTCCTCCAAGAACATGAAAATCACGAGTACTTTTACAAGGTCTCTATGAATAGCCCCAGTTGTCTGAATATGTAGTTTTTAAAAATGCCCATGACAAGGGTGAAGTCTGTCTGACTTGGAAGAGAAGGCAAAGGTCAATGGGACGATTCTTTCCAACAGAAAACTCAATGACTTTCCCATCAGCCTCAGTTCTTTTAGGGTAGAGGGATATTATGTGGCAAAACAAGTAAGACAAAAACCTTTTGATGAACAATTGTCCAGAGGATGTATTTCTGCAGTTGTAAAACCTAGGATTAGTTCTCATTCTTCAAGAAGTGCCCTAGATCAAGGGTATTTCTGCTTTTTTAACAGGAAATCAAGTCTAAGGATTTTGTTTTATGAATGGTGAGGTGCATTTTGCATACAAAGAACATTAAATCTATTAGCCATTCAGATTAATTGATGCACTTCACTCCTCTCAGAGTACTGATACTAACAAGTTGGTTATTTTTAGTTTAGGGTTTAAGCTTTGATTACCAATGGACAAGATTCTTGAGGGGATTTATATAGCAATATGATAAGCTGATGAACTAAATTTCAAAAGTCCCATGTTCAAACTCAATTTCATGGTGACAGTCTGATGGCTCCTACCTGTTTTTTTCTGATTTTTCTCCAATCTGTATTCTGCATTCTTCACATTGCTTAGAGACATTCTCATACCTATGAGATTTCTGGGGTCACTGTTTGCTCTGAAACAGAAGCCAGGATGAATTTTTTAAATCCCCAGCTCTTGCCAGAAATATAGGCAAACACTACAATATCCAGTATATGTTTAATTATGTTTAATATATGGTTCATATTAAAACTCAGGAACAAATGGTGCCAACATGGCAAAGACATTCCTTTCAATGGAATATCTCCTTCCATAAAACCAAGACCTTGTCTTTATGATAGGGTGGGGACGAAAAGAAATCTAGGTGAATGATTAAAATCTGTGACATGCCACTGGGATCTGTTCCTGAAACTGACACTAAACTGAATTAAGTCCTGTTACTCTTTGCTTCTTATATATCTTTAAATTAGCATGTACTTCTCTGAAGCTTCCACTTAAGGATATGGCTGGCTCTTCATATATATGGGGAACATTTATGAAGGATGATAAACTTTCAATCCTGTACTAAGAAGACCAAACTGTAGAGAAACCTCTGATTGTCAGTAAGTTGATGCTGCATAGGAACATGGCAACCTCCCCTGTATTTTAATAGTTACCTGTCCTACAGCAGGATTTGCCACAAACACTCTCACAGATCCCTAAGCCCAATTTGTTCTTCAATTTCATGTCTAAACTGCAAAATCATAAAAGAAGGCTGGTGAAAAACTTCTAAAATAGAATAAAATCTCTCAGAAGAGATGAAAAATACTGCCTATCAAGGCAATTGTTATGTTCATAGACTTATCACAAAAAGCCTTCAATTAATAAAATCTATCAAGAGAAATTTTCCTTCCTCCCCCCCTCCCTTCCTCCCTCCCTTCCTTCTTCCCTTCCTTCTTTCCTCCTTTCCTTTCTTTCTCACTTCCTTTATTGATTTGCAGTTCTGAAGTTTCCTGTTTTATATCACATGGAAGCTATTTTTCAGGTTTCAAAACTTGGTGAGGTACCATGTCTGGCTCTGCTAAAATATTGTCAATTATGACCTCAATAATAATCCTCTGTCCTTTTATAAACTCAGTCACTTCCAATGTCTCCTATAGGGTTGGTTTCCTGACAAAGCTATCTACACACATAGAGCCAGCTCTCTGCAAGGCCTTTCCTAAGAAAATCCTTCTGATGTTGTGATGATGCCAAGCTTTGTGTTAATCATACAATTTCTGTGTAAATTATTACAAGCTTCCCGGCTCTTTTGGTTAAGACACTAACTCTCATTTCAGTGTTAATGACAAGATGATGCTTGTCTGATGATGTGGCCTTAAACAGCATATTCCCCACTGCATCTTTTTCAGGAGACTAGAAGCCAAAAGTGAGCAGGGAAATTGGAATATAATTTCATTCCTAGTGGCCTGGCCTGGGATAAAGATGGACTACTATGACCAATGTTGCTGCAGACACCAGCGGTGGAACAGGAGCGAGATAATGTGGGCAACCAAATAAAGTCTTAGCCTAGAAAACCAGGACAAAAGTCTGCAAAGGAGCACAGGAGTTGATTCCTTTTTGTCATGGTCAATGCATTGTATTGAGTTCTGTCAGCATCTCTACAATTCGAGTAAGGATCTGAGCCCCTGCTCACTTTTCCTGCTTCACTCACTCTCACATATCCTGTCTGAAATAGGAAACAATCTCTGCTCAGAGGAATCTATGGGCGAATGCAGTGTTATTTGAAAATTAGGGAGGGAGCAAAACAGGGTTGCTTAGGATCTCCACATGGCTCCTCCTCTTCCATTGGGAGTTAACACTGGGAGACCTTCCTGCATCTGGGGATTTACTCAGCACATGCTGCTCACCCTGCAGCAGAGCAGGACCCAGCCTGCAACAAGCCAGCAAACCTATGAATCCCTCAGACTCATGGAACAAGAGTGAAATCAGAAACCTTTTCTCCTAGCTCTCCTCATCCACATCACCGATTTTCTCTACTGTTTGCTCACCCCATCACTAGTAGGCACTTTCATTGACAGTGATACTCTGAGTGACTCCTGACTGGGTTCTGATGATTGGACTAGGAGAAAGATGAGGTTCTGCCCTTAGGAGGGGCATAGCATGGTGTGAACACACACCGATGTTGGGTGACAGCCGTGGATGGGGAAGGGCCCTGCTCCTGGCCTCCTTCCCCACCCTGCCCCCAGCAATGTGTCACAGCTGCGTCTCACAATTACAAATGCAGGACAGTATCTACAGCACGAAGTCTATGTACACATGGACCATTCCCTTGGCATGCTTGAGAGAGACACACACACGCACACACATGTACACCCACGTGAGAGCGAGAGACGCGAGCACGCACGCACAGCAGAGAAAATTAAAATGGCACTTCCTAGCGTTTGTGGCATGACTAGTGCTCAGGGTGGTGGGAGTGAAGAGAAGTGTGTGAGGGGTGGAGATAAAAAAGGGGGTATCTGGGATGAATGTGGGGAGATAGAACACACTGGAGTGGGAGGAGATGTTCTTAAAAGTTGGTGATAGTGGAGGCAGAAAGCCAGAGAAAGGCTCAACACAGGACTTCGCTTGGATACCACTGATAGTCTCAAATGGTTACAAGTCAGCTCAAATGAAAACAGAGGAAAAAGTTGATGGCAATATACACACAAAGGCAAGACCTTGTTTCTTTTCCCCTCACGATGAAAAAAGATGAAGGAAGGATCAAGTGTGTGGGGGAGTTAATATCCATCTGGTACTTCTTCACTTGTCCTAGTTTTACACCTGGATGTCCTTAGCATGATGGGTCTTCACACAGCATATATCTGCTTAGACATACACATAGCCTAATAGAACTTTTCCCGCCCTGAATCATACTCAAATGGTTATTGATGGACTTGAGAATTGTTTTAAATGTTGTATTGTCTTCTTCCTTTTTCTTCCCCCTTTATTTATAAACACACAAAGTTGTGAAATAAACAGTCTCCCCCCATCTCACTCTCTCTCTCTCTGTATCCTGTGTGACGCATATTTTGTGTGTTTTTTTAAAATTATTTTAAAATTTTTATTCTATTAACATTTGCTGAGAAGGCAGAGCAGAGATGCTGCCAGCAGCCACAGTGGTACGGCCAGACTGATGGATCCATTTATTCCTCTCGCCGACCCAGGTCCTGCAGAGCAAAGGAGAGAGGGAGAAAAAAGAGAATGGTTACATCTGGCCCACTCTGTGTTAGAGCTGACTGCTGCCCTGTCAGAGGTGAAGCAGGTCTGGTAGGCACCAGTGCCTCCAAGTCAGTGTGCTTATGTACAGCTCAACAAGGTCTCACATTCCTTCCTTAATCCTTCTTCTTGAACTATAAGTATCTTAGGAATTATCATTGGTTCAAACACCTCTAGATACAAAATGATCTCCTAAGAGAACATCCTAAACCAGCTGTCCCTGACGTGTCTGAGGTCGTGGCAGGCCCCTCCTCACCCAGCCTCCTCTTGCGTGCTCTGCTTGGCATGGCAGCCAAAGCCAGCACTCATTAAGATTCCAACCATTGGTGAGGGTCCTTCTGCAGCCAGACACGGGCTCCTCCAGCTGATTTATCACAGCATCTCCATCAATAAAACATGGAACCAATCTGTGACCCTCTTGTTTCTCATGGGGGAAGCAGTAATTATTTATTGGTTACAGGGAGGAGAGCTCTTTCCAAGTAATATTTATGACTAGTGACACTTGAGCTTCAAGGTAGAAAATAAGTCAACTCATTGTAGAATTTTAAGAGGCAGAAGGGGATCACCTGGTCCAAACTCTAACTTTGACAGTTTAAAAATCAAAAGTAAAGACAACAACAACAGAAAAACAACAAACAAACACGACTTAGGGAGGTTAAAGAGGCAGGTCCAAACCAGAAATAAGACTAAGCTTGAAGTTGCCCAGAATTCGACCTGGAGTGACAGTCTGTGTGACTGGTTTTCCCCAGGTGGACAGGATTGGGGTGTGTAAGTGTGGCTAGAGATCCAAGAGGGAGATTGGATTGGAAAGGAAAGTGGAGAAGCGATGTATGTGTTGACAGAATGAGGAGGATTGGGGCAGAAAATGTTGCTCTGAAGAGCTTGTCTCCTATGCTTTGCTTGTCCACTCTCTCCTTTTGTATGGTTCTTTTGTAAAGATCATTTTAAAAAGAAAATACCAGTATTTTTCACAACCAAGACTTTGGGATTGAAGACTGTATGTTTAGATGATGACATTCAAAAGAGAGATTGGTGTGACTATAATTATGGGTCACTTTGAAGTTTTGAGGGCACACATGCAGACGAATCTGTGTGAATGAGTGTATATGTGAGTGTGTGTTTAAACTTATGATGGTTCAAGTGCAATGAAGCATCTCTGGTATGTGAATGTTGTCAAAATTGTCAATAAACATACCAGATTAGAGGTAAATTTATAGGGAAAGTGTTGAAATCAAAAACATTCTCCAAATGTTTTTGATCTATAGATCATATATATATATATATATATATATATATATATATATATATATATATATATAGAGAGAGAGAGAGAGAGAGAGAGAGAGAGAGAGTAAATTATAACGGCAACAACAACCAAACAAAACCAGTAGACAATTAGGTAGCTCTTACTGCAAGGTACTGTTATAAATGCTTTACAAATACAAGCACACTACCATGCTGTGAAGCAGGTACTAAATGAGCCCAGTTTTACAGTGAGATAACAGGCAGAGAGAGATGAAACCTATTGCACAAGTTTACACAGCTAGTAAGCTGGGGTTTTCACCCAGGCAGCTGGCTCCAGTCTTTGCCTGTCACTACTACACAAGTTATCAAGTGAAGGGGTGTCGATGAGTCTCTTGGCCAACATTTGGCAAATGAAATTTGTCTTTGCTTAAAACAATAGCCAGAACAAACAAATCAACATGAAGACATCCATTATCTTTTTAAAAAAGTGATTTCAATAGAATATTTAGACTAGAATGGCATCTTCTAAGCATTAAAAATATTACTATAAAATATGAATATATACAAACTTTGAACAACAAAGTTATAGTATAAAATGAGCTTTATTATATGTAAAGATATGAAACTGCAGATTAAAATTTTAAATATTCAATCAATCAATCTTTTAATTTTCTGAGTGGCTATAGGATCATATTAATATAAAGGCACTTTAGCTACCTTGAGGTTCATACCTTTCATGAGGAGTTAAGGTTCAAGAAGATCATGTTTCCTGCATGATGCACCTGATTAGGAATCATGATTAAAATCCAAGTGTTCTGAGCCTTACTCACCCTCTACTTGTCTCCTCCCTACCTTTGGCCTTGTGGTATCTTTAAGCTTTCTTAACGGCAGCTCCCAAGGCTTCTGGCCTGATGGGCATTTTATCTCCTCTATATGCTATAGGTAGCATGAGCTCAGTGGCACATTTGTTTGAATTAGTGTGTCAGTGAAGCAGAGAAAGACTACACACAAACTTATGTCATTCCTGGTTAAACAGATTTGAGATAGGGATGCTGTGAAACAGAAGGTTCCCAGAAAGACTCTAATCCTGCCTATTTCCTTAACTTTATTTTTAGTGCTGGTATAGACTAGATTATCATAAGGCATCTTGGAGTTGAAGGTACCTGGGAAGTCTAAGAAGCCTAGTCTTACCATTTTTTTGAAGGGCAGTAAATGTTTGAGAAAGCAGAAATTCCATCATTGAAATATAGACATATATGAACCTAGATAAACATGTTTAATATAACATTTTGCTAATTATGTACATACATAGGTATTAGAGAAGAATATATGTTATATGCATATTCATATATATACATATGATATACACTGGTATTATTGGTGTTTTCATACATATAATTGAGAATAAACTATCACTTTCACATGATATTCTATGTTACATATATGGAATTCAAGTATATGACTATTAATAATCTTTAATTTTATCCTTAATAAAATTATAACATAGTTGAAGTGAATTTTGTAGATCTGTCAGTTATTATTTTTTAAGTGCTCTCATATAGCTATTTGATGTACTTATATGACTTGCTCTTTTCACAATTGGTTTTGAGAGTAAGTAAATAGGCTTGAAAAATGCAAAGGTAAATGGGAGACAGTTGGGGAATCATCACAAGGGGGCATGCAATTATAGATATGTATATATGACTGCGTAGGAGAGTACTTCAGTTAATGGCCATTTTGAGGAAAATAATCAGCTAAATCATTAATTATGTTTTAGTTCATAGTTATGAAATTTCTGCTTATTTGAGGAAATGCAAATGGTAAAACTTATTTCCCACACCAGATGGCCAGGCTTAGCAAGTATTTTCCCATACAGACAGATAGAATGAAAGCAAGAGTCTGCAAACATGAATTAGCCTTAAGAATAGATGGGCAAATAGAACCACAATTCAAAAATTGCTACACGCTTATCACATAACAGACAAATACCATATCTTGATCTTCAGTCACATTCTATACGTGTGTATGTATATGTGTATGCACATGCTTACATGTGTGGTATCTAGTAGATATTCAACAAATGGTAGCAGAATCATTATTGCTATTAACTATAGCTATCCGGATTACAGAAAGGCACAAAATACCCCTGAATCCAAGGGTTAGTTTGTGAATTGGGTCAAGGCTTTCAATGTTTGACCCAAAGGGGCAAAATTTAGCTGCAGGAAGATTGAAAGTCTTGAGTCAACTCACCAGGTCTAGGTTCTCAACCCCAGGACAGGATGATAAATGAGATTGTGTCAAGGTGAATGCTAGATTACACTTTGCCATCATAATGCTTAAAAAGGGAATGTGTGACTCAGGGCAAGAATGATACAGCATCCTGAAATTGAGGAATGTGAGTATTTTCTGGCAAAGTGTATATACTACAAACCTGATGCAGGATGCTGAGCCAATTGATCAGTCTTTCAGTAAAATCCCAAAGTAAGGACAGGTGATTTTTCAACACCTGCTTTAGAGAGCACACTCTTAGTGAAACTTTGTGATTCAAATTTGGACAAGATATTTCTGTTGATCTCCTGGATATCATTTCAAAGACTAGGGGCTAGATGTATTCAATATAATCATTAGTCACACCCTTAGTGATTGTTGGGCAAGCCTTTCATCCTGAGCCATCGAGGTCAATCATAATTTTATTCCTGTACATAGTTCAGCCATACAAGAAAAGAAGGAAGGCCAGACAAGTTTAAGTTTGAATTACTCCTTATAATTACTAAGGGCTGACTGAGTGACTTAAAATAAGATAAAAACTTAAACAACATAGTTAACACTTGTTAAGTGAGAGAAAAAAGTAATCTCCCAAATCTCTCTTAAATATTATCCAGATAGGCACGTAGAGGCCTGGGAAGCCATGTTTAATTAAGGGAGGCTTGAAAAGACTGACTTTGGCGCCATCTGCTGTCCATATTCAGCCAGTTCAGCTTCCTCTGGCTGAATAAATTGTGAGTAGAACAAGAGATACATTGATGTTTTCCTTGAGCCCTGTGTCTTAGAATTAAATTTGGGCTCCTCCTACATAATTCTTTATGCATTATCTCCCCTCTCTATAAAGTGAGTTTTGGGTAGGGTTTCACAATAAAGTTGGAATTATCACATCTTTTCCATCGAAACAGCATCAAATATTTTGCCATGTAAAATTCTGAAATTTTAGGCCAATACTTAGAATTCCTTTGGGTGACAGTTGGAATTTATCACAATGGTCTCTGGGGAAACACACACACACACACACACACACACACACACACACACACACACCCTGTGCCTTATTTTTATATCCACACCAAAGCCCTGAGGTATCCTGTGTTCCACTACTTAAGATTCAACTATAATTGATAATCATGGCATTGGGGAGACAAGGGCTGAAGAGGGCAGTAGCTTAGATCTTCTTGCCCCAAATGATATTGGTTCTATATATATATTTCTGGGTGCCTCCTCCCTGCTGCCTTCTGTGGGGACTAGCTAGAGCTGATATAAACAAAATGCTGGCCCTTTCCTGAATAAGCAACAACGTGTCCATAATCTCTGTGGTTCTTGGTCACCGGTGGGGTCTAAATCACACAAGAATCGTTTTCACTATTGATAATGATCTTGGTTGTCTCATCTCCTTTGAGGTTCAGAGAAGAAGACATCTTCATAAAAGACAATTACC